CGTCGTACCTGAGACGGCGATCGTCTGTAGGCTGGGGGTCCTCTGGGGTCTGTTCTTTGAGGGTCTGGGGTCCGGGGGCGCGGTCTGGGGTCCGTTCCTTCGAGAGCTGGGGTCCCTCGGTGCGGTTGTCGGGTTTGTGGTCTCGCCAGGGTTGGGGTTTCGGGGCGGGGCTGCCCTGTGGGGTCTCTCCTGCCGCTGGGGGTTGGGGTCCTTCGGGGAGGAGCTGGTCTTCGTCCGGGGGTCCGGGGGTGCTCGTCTGGGGCTCGTCTGCTTGCACTTCCGTCGTGCTCATTCGGTGTATGGGGCGGATTCTGCTTGGATGGGGTCCTCGTTAGGCTCTCGTGTTGGGAAGGGGGTACGTGTGTGCTTAGTTATCTGTTTGCTTTCGTCTGTTTGTGCTGATGCCCGTGTGTCTATTGTGTCTGTTGTGCGTATTTGTATGTTTGTATATGTCTGTTTGTTTTCGTCTGTCTGTGCTTATGCCTGTGTGTCTATTGTGTCTGTTGTGCGTATTTGTATGTTTGTATATGTCTGTTTGTTTTCTGTCTGTTTGTCTGGCAGCAGTTCTATTGCTTCCGAAATCCGTTTTTCTTTCTTTCATAAAGATATCATAACTGTAACCATTACAGCAAGGTACGACACATGCATTAATGAATTAAAAGAATAAGTAATTAAATATCTAAAATTAAAACTGAAAGACAATCAAACAGATGAATACAACTAAACAATTAAACATATATATAATTAGGAGAAACTCACATCAAAACAATAAACAGTAAACGAAAAAGATAAGAATCATTTGACTGTCATAAATTGTTATAAATTTATAAATATTTATAAATTACAAGATATAAATTGTTAAATCGTTAATCTAACTCCTGTGTCATTACAGAACATGACCTGATAAGTAAAACTAAGACAACATAAAATCAATATGAAACAATGTTAATGATAATGTCATTATCGTCGTTATTATCATCATTTTTAAGTTGTTTTTTTTTACTATCATTGCTTTTGTTATCATTATCTTTATCATTATCATTATCATTACTATTATCATTATTAGTATTGGTACTAGCATTCAATATTATTTTTATCAGTAATATGGAAATTGTCATTGTTCATTAGGCTTCTACTATCATCATTATCTTCATCATTTCTTTCTTATTATAAGTTAGAAGAATCAACACACACCTTGGCGGCCTCAGCGGGATGCTGAATATTGAGATCTCTTCATATGCAAAGGGATCTAGAATATAAAACCGAAAAAGAATATATAATAACGAAAGAAAAGAAAAAAAGCACGTTCTGATATAACAGTGATAACGAGCAGAACGATATACACAGAAAATAAACCAAAATACATGAAATTATTATTAAAAAAAAAAAAGATTACCCCAAAAAAACGAAACAAACCAAAAAAAAAAAAAAAAAAAACAACACCGGCAACCAACAAGCAAATACAACAAAAAATCCAAAAAAAATACACCCACTTTTGACGTCCTTGCCCTGCGTATGGTAGACGTAGGCGCAGCACTTCCTGTAGTTGTCGCAGCAGTGGGTCCACTTGGAGGAGGGCATGATAGAGCAGTAAGAGGTCCTGCAGTACTCGCGGCCCCACTTGTCTCCCTCCATACTGCAAGGGGGGGAGGGGGGAGGGAGGCAGTAGTAGTAGAATCACCGTCATTACTGTCATTATTACTATTATTATTATTATGTCATTATTATGTATTGTTATTATTATTATTATTATTACTATTACTATGGTCATTATGATAACGGCAACGAGAGCGATGATAATGATGATGGCAATGATGATGATGAAAATAATGATAAGAAGAACAATGATATCAATGAGGATAATAAAAAGGACAATAACATAAGTAATGATAAAAATGATGCTGATTATAATAATGGTAATGAAAATAATTATGGTAATGATAATAATAATAGCAATGATAATAATGATAATGACGTGTGTTGACATCTGCTTTCAGGATATAGTCAACCGTAGATTATATGGACACAAAAAAGTGATAATGATAACAACAAAGACAATAACAATGAAAATGATAATGCCAGTAACGATGATTATCATCATCATCGTTTGTTATTATTTGCTGTCATTATAATAATGATAATGTTATTATCGTCGTTATTATTATCATTTTGATTTTTTTTTTACTATCATTGATTTTGTTATCATTATCTTTATCATTATCATTACTATTATCATTATTAGTATTGATACTAGCATTCAATATTATTTTTATCAGTAATATGGAAATTGTCATTGTTCATTAGGCTTCTACTATCATCATTATCTTCATCATTTCTTTCTTATTATTATCATTATCATTATAACAATAATTATGATTATCATTACCATTATTATTATTACAATCATTATCAATATCATTAGCATTATTGTTATTATTAGTGGCATTATTATTACCATTATCATCATAACTGTCATCATTATTTTCATCACTTTTATTAT